ATGAGATCCAAAAAGATCGAAATCGCGATCCGCGTCTGGCAGTTTCGACAGAATACAGACCACTTCGAATTATTTTATTCGATTAAGCTAACGTGCCTATCACGTTGAGGTTGGCTACGCCGGGATTCGTTTTCAGCAAGTAGATATCCACACAAGTGGACCTTGTTGGAGCATACGTAATCCTAAATTGTAGCATCGTGCTACAGATGGCGTTTACTGCGCCATTTGTAGTATTTTCGATCTCGAAGATGCACCGAATACATTTCATAACGGTGAATGAACATTAAGAATTAAAAGCCTCACGTGTTCATATTAAATAAACTTTATCGTAACAAGATGAAACCGATTGGGTTTCCCAAGTCGCTCTAGAATAGTTTTCCATGTGGAAGCAACTTTTCTTCCGCCATTTTCGCGATAATTGCAACTGTTAGTGGGTGAATTATTTGTCCCACTTTCGGTTTTAGAGCCGGACGATTTAGTGTCCTTATCTCGGTGCCTTAAATTTACATTCAGGACTCTCCGTGCATGTGTCCTTTCCAGTTGGAGATAATTATGGATCGTGCTGCATTCTGTTGCTTCAAATCTGGTGGAGTTGTACATACATCCCCATATTCGCCAGCAGGGAGCTTCTTACACGTATAAATCGTACGGTCTGGCAGCCAACCAACTGGCGATGGGTTAACCGCACACTGGATACATGAGCCCTCCTTTCTACCCTCGCATAAACAATATTTATGTCGGTTTAAAACAATATGACCCGATGGTAAAACAATGCACCGAATCATAAAAAGAAAGGAAAAACAAAACGCTCATCCAAATTACGAGCACGTACATATGTGCTAGTGGTTCCCGAATGTTTGGCTTCAAAAATAGGGCGGAATATTTCACAAATGTTTATTTAAAAGATTCCACAAGAAAATCAACTGCAGTATTTTCTAGTAAAATAACAATAATTTATCATCATCATCATCATAAGGTCATCAGTCCTAGACTGGTTGGACACGTACCTCCACTCTTTCCTATCCTGAGCTAAACTTCGCATTTCCTTAAAACTAGAACAGCCCACATCCTTAACTATTTGCGAAGAGTAATCTAATCTAGGTCAACCTCTGCCCCTCCTAACTCCTGTTTCTGCCTCTAATATGTCTCTGACTAGACCTTCATGCCTACGAAGGTGTCCTACCAACCTATCTCGCCTATTTTTTATTGACTTCCATAGAGTCCTCTGTTCTCCTATTCTTTCTAATACCTCTTCATTTCTAACCTTTTCTACCCACGATATCCTCATCATCCGCCTATAACACCACATTTCGAACGCTTCTAACCTTTTCTTTTCCGCCGCTCCCACTGTCCATGCTTCGCACCCGTACAACGCCGTGCTCCAAACATACACCTTTAACAACCTTTTACGAATTTCTTAATTATCGGTTCGCGAGCATAGAAGTGACTTCTTTTTATTAAAGGCGACACGACCCTGCGCTATCCTCTGCTTTATATCCCTACTACTCCTTCCATCCTCACTTATCTGACTTCCTAGGTATATAAAATCAGCCACTTCTTCTAATTTATACAGACTTAAAATTGTCACTCCCTATAAAGTTGACTCAATGAAATTAATGATTTAATTTTTGTTTGTAGCTGTCTAAGAATCAATCACTTATATTCCTCTTAACACAAAGGATTTTAATTACAATTTCAGATTTTTGAACAGCTTTCTGAATTCCTATTCGTTACAGACAATTGAAAATTTTTAATTAAATAAACCGATAATAGGCAGTAATAACTGCTTTGTATCTAAATAACTATAGGTATACTTATAGATAAAATACATAAATTTTTGATGTCTGATTGAAACAATATTGATTTAAATAGATTAAGGATAACCATTAATTTTCAAAACTGACATTTAAGGGTTTAGCATCGATGAATATTCCTTGCTTGATGATTTTGTGATATATAATAATAATTGTTTTAAGTTTTAAATTAACTGTCAGCACTCATTCCTTATTTCAAAATTTACTTATTTGTTATTAATAAATAAAATTGTCCAAATTATTTTGAAGTTTTCGTGTATGTGTCCTAAAATCTTTTACGAATATAACATGTATTATACAATCTCTTTAATAAGGTGAACAGTTTTTCAATTTAATGATACTACAAGCTCCAACAAGTAAGGATTATACCCAAAATTTTGATTGATTTTAATCTGGAAGTAAGTATGCAATATTAAAATTAATCTCTATATCTTATCTTTATTAGATAACCAATAACAATGTCTATAAAGGTACCGATTTTCTTAATATAGCAGCAGAATAAAAACTCATACTTATATAATTGCTTTAATTTTTTAAAGTAACTATTAATTTAAAAGATTATTTTTCTTAATAAGTCCATAAATGATAATTTCAGTCCAATTCCGGGGGTTTAGATAATAGTATTGAAGGATTTAATGTAAAAAGCAAGTAAGTACGTATGTAGTATCTAATTTTACAATAGACACTTGCTTAATCCGAGTTGAAATTTAATTGCATACATAAATTAATACAACGTATTATAATTCCAGCAGAAACAAAAAATCGACATCCCAACACATGTTCAGATTAAAAAGCTACTAATCGTAATCGTTCCATTAAATAAAGAAGTCTAGACCTTGCATGTACGAACTGTTATCTTCACAAAGTGGAATTAAATTTATTTAAACAGCAAATTAACGCGGATGTGCTTGCCTACTAATGTAATGTTAATGAGCTACTGTGCCGTGCACTAATTATTCAGAATAGCGTGAAAGGTAGATACGAGTCGTACTTGTTCTCTATATATAGTAAAAATGGGGATATACGATAATCGTTACAAAATTTTCGGCTTGATTGTCATGCTAGTTAGTGTGATCGTCATTGCTGTTGTTCTGTTTTTTGTTTTGAAAGGAAATGGACATAACGTAAAAGATAAGCCACCAAATATTGTCATCATTTTGGGCGACGACGTGGTAAGTTAAAAGTATTTGTAAATACTTTATTTAAGAATGAGTAAACTGTAAAATTTACAAATAGATCACAAAGTCAAGTTACGTATAATTTTTTAAATTCACCTTGAATTGTTAAATATTTATCTATGTTTTGTATTTCTTATTTGCCTTTGTAGATACCTTTTTTTTTCAATTTTAAAGGTCTTTTCCTATATCTATTGCGAATTACTGACCATGAAAACTTTTTTGAAGTTGATATTTTTATAAAAATGTTGTACTCTTTAGTAATGAAAAGTACTTTTGATTGTTGTGAATTACTGATAACAAAAGTCTCCGATATTTCTCCCTTTTTAACTTGGTATTGTAAGTTAAGCCAAGATATACGACTAAAGCAATGTTGCAATGTTTATTTATTATAATCAACAATCGACGTTTCACTTACTACTCCACCGTTTTAGTTTTCCAAGATAAATTGTAAGATCACTGATTTAATCTTTACGTTGATGATCTCAGATGTGGTAATCTAGTATAATTTTAATTGGAGAAATTCGTGAAGTTCGTAAATAACAGAGCAAACACTAATTTATAAAAGACAGATCCTTTCAGAGGTAGAATTTTTTAAAATACTGAATTAGGTGTTTGACTAATTACTAGAGATGAGCTTTAAGTTTATCTAATAAGTGAAAATTTTCGAATCGTTTTTTAAGGATTTTGGATTATACGCATTTATTAGTACACCACAACATCTTACAGCTTTCAGTTTTACACAGCTAGCGTATATCAATTCGATATTGCTTTTGGGGGTTGTTATGTCGTAATTCATAGAATTTCGTAGTTCCTTGCTAAAGGTACGAATAGTGGTGATTTGGCAGGTGCTAATATCAATTTGAAACTTCAAAATTCTATGGACCTCGGAAAACGATATCGATCCAATATTTTAGATTATCCATTTCCAAGGAGTTTAGAATTTTTTAGGGTCTTATCGGTTAAAGAATTAGAAGGCATTCATGGAATGTCTCTTTGTCCCTATTTAAGTTTTCAATACTTTCAATGGTCAATGTTAGCATCTTTCATTCGTCATTTTATATCGGTTTGATCGGAAACTTTTAACTGCAAAAATGCATTTTGCATTTTACAAATAGAAAATACGTTTGGAAAAGTATACAAAATACTTTTCTGAAAAAAAAGCATTTAAATGCAAAATAAAAATAGGTATTTTTATCTTGTATTTACATTCTAAATGCAAGTATTTCAAATAACATCTTTGCTAATTACATACGATATATCAACCAGCAGTAAGACAAAGTTTCATGTAAATTTGACCACAATCAAAGATGTTCCATAGAAACTTTTCAAAGGGTTGAATTTCGAAATATCCCTTCTCATTCCTTGTACACATCATAAAGCAAAATGTCAGTTAACTAGGTCTAAGGGTTCAGCCTGGGCGTTGATGAGTCAGCAAGTTAGTGAGTCAGAACTTTCGTTTTATATATGTACATAGATTACCACAAAGAGAATCAGCGATTCTACAAGGTACTTTCAAGAAACTTGTAACAACAAAACACGAAACGTCAGTTATTGGTTGTGATAATGTACTAAATAAAATGTTAAAGCCTAGATTTGTAAGACAAATTGGTAAAGGTTTTCACGGCCAGTAGATGAACTATTGCTGTCGTAATTCGGGTCTAAGGGTCGTCATGGGTTGGAGTTACATCGGAGATGGAAAATCCTTTGAAGAAGCTGGCCACTCGTGCTATGTATTAGCGAAACGTTAGGAAGCAACCCCAACTGACGACAGCCCATAGACCAGAATCTAGGCAGTATCTTAGGTTTCTTTGCGCATTTCTCAGCTAGTCATAGAAAAATAGATTGAAAGTTGCACACTTCGATTAAAGACTGTACCTACAACATTCTGGGACTAGCTGACTATTGAAACACTAGTAGATTAAAGGAGTTCTTAAGTCTAATTTCAATGTCTAAGGTGTTATCATTTAATCAGAATTTTTAATTGAGTAAATTCTGCTCTGACAGGTTCATTTTAAACTCAAAAGCAAATGAAACATGACTGCCCAATTTTGAATGGGCTCATCTAGTGTTAAATAAAGGTATATCTGTGAACAAACATCACTTTGGTGATTCTAAAGGGATTTCATATTAAATGTGTAGTAATATAATAAGCGTTTTTTCTTTTTTTGGAAAACGAGCGTTTTTCTTTTGGAACACGAGCGTTTTTTACTTTTTATTTTTGTGTAACAATATCCCGCAGATTTTGTTTGAGTAAAACTCTTAAGGTTTTTACTTTTTATATTACACGAGAAAAGGCAGATGTTTACCAAACAGGACTAACATATAAAAACGTCCTTTCGCTTTTCATATTTGCTTTGTCCAAGAACTAGAGGATTTGTTTGGAAGATCAGTTTGTATTCAACTTATTTTGCAGGGGTGGAATGATGTTGGTTTTCACGGTTCGAATCAGATCCCGACGCCAAACATCGATGCCTTGGCATATAATGGCGTGATACTTAATCGGTTTTACACCCAAGCCGTTTGCACTCCGTCTAGGGCTGCCTTGCTCACAGGATATTATCCGATTCGCGCAGGTATTATTGTCTGATTTTCTACGTTTCAAAGACATAACACATAACATCATAAACACTGTCATAAATTTACGCCTTAGGGGGTGCGCCTACTAAAGAAGCGTAGCATTAAAGCATAGCACACGGAGAAAATGGAAAAGGAAATTTTTCTTAAATATTAAAGCGATATTTACATTTTATCCCACTATCTAGTTGCTTAGTAAGCGAAAAAAATTAAAATTACAATTTGGACCCGAATTTGTAAATATAAGATCCCAGCAGAAGTAAATTTACTAGGTATTTTAGTTGATATTACAAATTTAATTGTAATAATTAAGAAACTTGAAATAATTTTTAGAAAAACATGTCAAAATTGAGATTGTAATTTTTGCGTTGTCATAAAAGTTTTCTGTTTGTAGAAGTGTGATTCTGACATAACAGTGGCGTGACATAACTTTTTTTAACGCACACAGGTATAGCGTGGTAGTAGTAAATATCATAATGTCATTCGATGAAAATCTAATCATCATCATCATCATAAGGTTGTCAGTACTAAGACTGGTTGGACACGCACCTCCACTCTTTCCTATCCTGAGCTAACTTTCGCATTTCCCTAAAACTAGAACAACCCATATCCTTAACTATTTGCGAACAGTAATCTAATCTAGGTCTAACTCTACCCTCTCCTAACACTCGTTTCTGCCTCTAACATGTCTTTGACTACACCTTCATTCCTGAGAAGGTGTCCTACTAACCTATCTCGCCTATTTTTTATTGACTTCCATAGAGTCCTCTGTTCTCTTACTCTCTCTAATACATCTTCTTTTCTAACTTTCTCTATCTACGGTATCCTCATTATTCGCCTGTAACACCACATTTCGAACGCTTCTAACCTTATCCGTCATGCCCACTGTCCATGTTTCGCACCCGTACAGCGCCGCGCTTCAAACACACCTTTAACAACCTTTTTCGAATTTCTAAATTAACCGATCGCGAGCGTAGAAGTGACTTCTTTCTATTGAAGGCGACTCGACTCTAATAGCTTAAGTAAATTTACTCAATATGAATGAAAACCGTCGAAAAGAAGACACTGAATATACCCCTACTGCAATTCTTTTCTGCCTTTCCTTTCCCAGATTTTTTTTTTATACATTCCTTCGGTGGGCGCTCCGCTTTAGTACATCAACTGAACTTTTGTCAAAATTAAAAAAGTACGCCTCCATCAAAAACTACTAATCTTCTGGGTAAAAATTCCTTTAGAACTTTAACAAAAATAACTTGTAAAGCCACTAAAACTGTGCCAAATCTTGAATTATTTGAAACAGCGAATCTTCGATTTTGTAGGTACTACCATCACATCTCTGACTGAAACAATATGGTGGACCACATATTAGGCTCTGATTATCTTTGGGTCTGTTCATAATTATTTAACCTAAATTGGGAGGGGAGAGTTCAGTCGGGAGTTACGGTCCTGTAACGAGAGGGAGTTAGAGTAGGGGGGTGCGATAGGTAACCTTTATAGGGCAGAAAAGTTGGCAATATGGAGCCTTGAGAGAATTCTGTAATGCTACGAATGAATTTTCATTTTTTAGTAATGTAGAGGAATGCCTTTAAGGGAGTGGGGTTACACTAGTCGTTTTAGTCACGGTATGTGAGGGAGGGGGTAAAAATTGGTGAATTTTGTTTTATGTAGTTCCTGTCTCAGTTGTCATTTGCTTTGCTCTAATATTTGCTAACAATGTACAAGAACATCTATTTCTTTAATATGATAGATTTTTCCAGTTTATATTGTAATATTTAGTGTAGATACCTAGTACAATATGCGTATATTATGTTAAAAAGGCATATACATCGTGTACACGTAGCAGGCACTTAACGAAATTTAATACCACTAAGCTGTTAGCTTTATGGAATGACTTGACGCGCGTAAGCCTCTACAGGAGGATGTAGGTACTTTCTAAATTACTCGAATACTTCGTCTACGTACTGAATATAGCACTTAAATCTAGGCTCTCCATCAAACTCTAATGATAATTCTCATTAAATTAGTTATTTGACAATAGTTAATATATTTACTCCTACACATCCACTTATCAGCACGAGATGGAAATGAAAATTACACCAAACTACTGTAGATTTAGATAATGGTTTTTGCTTAGAGGCATTAACAGAGCTTAAGAACTCAATAAAACTAAGCTGAAATACATATATGTACTTCCATTAAAACTTAATGGCGTTAAAACTTTCGAGTCTGCTGCCTGATTGTTGGAAAACTAACACCGACGTTTCCCCTCTATTTGTGCCCTTTCCAATGAAGGTTTCTATATTCCAAAGGTGTTATTAGTGCGTGGTTTTGGAAGTTGTAATGAAACATATGAAATACTTCATACAATAACTGCTACAACTAGATATTACATGTATCAACTTGCTCTTAAAAAGATTTTTCGAGTTGGTAGGTGATTTGTCGAGACGTACTTATGACGAAATCTAATAATAAGATCAAAATTTGGTAGTTTTGATAAGCTTAGACGCCGTACTGGAAATTTTGAAATCATTTAAACCGTTCCAAATTATAATTGTCTATTTACTTGCATATTTTTGTTTAGGTTTACAAGGCTTACCTTTAAATGATGGCCAGAATTACACACTACCAATCCACTTTTCGCTACTTCCGGAGAAGTTGAAGGACCTTGGTTACAGCACACATTTGGTTGGAAAATGGCATTTAGGTTTCACCAATACCTCAGCCACACCTTTGGCAAGGGGTTTTGACACTTATTTTGGTTATTGGACAGGTTTTATGACATACCGCAGTCATATGCGAGCCGTTAGTGTAAGTACCGACTTTCTTAATAGTTTTTGTGAATACATCAGCTTAAAAAGCAAAACGTACACAATATTTATGAGGCACTATCGCAACCGTTGGACGAGGATTGCGATTTCGACTTTTTTGCGTGCAGATGGCGTTTGTTACACTATTTGTAGTAATTTATAAAACGCTATTACGTAACTCAAACTTTGACCTCCTCCTTCGTCGTTCACCCTGTATATATCTTAATGTCCCGCCATTTTATTCATAAGTATGCAAATGAGTACGAAAATACTCGCTAATTTCTCCGACGCCGCGCGCTCGCCATTGCAATAAATGCAAATGTGAAAATAAACCCTTAATCAATGATTGTTCCTTTGGGTTCTACAAGAGGGGGTGCCATGCGTAATTAAAACACTAACCTGCGGCGTGCAAGTTTAACGCGGCCAATTAAAGGACTGTTTACCGCCAAAATTATGCATACGACTTGTTTGTTTTCGTCTATAATTTATTGGTACCGATGTGTATTATGTATGTGTGTATGTAACCATCGCAGTTGGCTTATTATAACGAAATAGACTTAAACTATGTTTACTTCTATTACCTAGGGTACTTATGTTTGTTTGCTTGTTTGTAGGGTAAAGTTTCTCAGATTATATAAACATACAGAACAGAACAGAAGTTATTGTGAAATTTACATCTTTGTAATGTATGTAAAGGGAGTTAAAAATTGAAAGTAGAATAGTTCTCCCTATTAAAAATTAAAAGGAATACTCACCCCTAATTACCACAAATAATTTTAT